ACCGTGGGAAGATTTCCTACGGTGGCCTGCCTTCTGTTCCCTGTTATGGCATTTCTTTTTACTGCTGGTAAAATAGGGGAAAAAAAAAAAAATTAAAAAAAAATTGAAGGTTTAAACCTGCTGTTCTTCCTGCACCTTCTTAGAAAAATACAGAAATAAAAATGGGCAGAGAAGGTAAGAAAAACAGAGAGAAGAAAGAGAAACTTTTCCATGCACAAAAGCACTTTGGTGTGTCCTGGGAAGAAAGGAGGAGCGTGAACGCAGTTTTATTTTTCACCTGTGTGAAGCTGTGCTTTGAAAAACAGTGAAGCAGTGGGGCTGCCTTCCTCGGCAGCTCAGCCGGGGTCTTCCTCCTCCCCCTTGCCTTGTCTACCCTGCGGTGCTTCGGGCTCCTGTGGTGGAAACCTTCCAGCCTTGAACCTGCTGGGGCGAGACCCCCCCCTGGGGCTCAGTGTCCTTCCTAGGGGCTGCTAGAAAGACACAGGACGTGAGTCCCCCTCCTGCCAGCACCTTCCTGGATTTGCTGAAACGGGAGGGTTTTAGATTGAGTTTGGCCTTTCTTGTGTAGGACCTGCCCTAATGCTTTGGTATAAACATTCGGTCTTCAATATATTCTACTTTAAAGCTATGTGACAGAGTGAATCTCTCTTCTGTTGGCTGGAGAAAACGTAAAGCTGTGAAAAAGCTTCAGGGAACTGGTTTCCTTCTGGTGCTGAGCTGTACTTGCCAATATTTGCTTTCAGAGGTGTACTGTGTGTATTGCGTGCCATGTGGGGGAAGTGTGTCTTGACACGCCGGTAGCTGTTAAGGCACTCAGCAAATCTCTCTCTGCTTTTCCTCTTTTTGCTTTTGTTTTTTCTGTGCTGGTAGCGTAACTGGCTGCTGCCCCTGCGTACGTTAGCTCTTTGCTTGCTCTGTCCAGTTTAAGTTGTCCTAATTAGCAAGCAGAAACCTCTTTATTCTGTTTCAGCCTGAAGAAGAGAAGACTGAGAGGGGATCTCATCAACGCATACAAATATCTTAAGGGCGGAAGTCAAGAGGGCGGAAGCAGTCTGTTTGCAGTGGTGTCCAGCGACAGGACTAGGGGCAATGGATGCAAACTGAAACATAAGAGGTTTCAGTTGAATATGAGGAAGAACTTCTTCACTCTGAGGGTGGCAGAGCACTGGAACAGGCTGGCCCGGGGGGTTGTGGAGTCTCCTTCTCTGGAGATATTCGAAGCCCACCTGGATGAAGTCCTGTGTAGCATGCTCTAGGTGAGCCTGCTTTAGCAGGGGGGTTGGACTAGATGATCTCCTGAGGTCCCTTCCAACCCTTACGATTCTGTGATTCTGTGATTCTGTGTCTCAAGCAGTCGTAGTTTTGAAATTGGTAGAGAGGCAGAGAGAAGGCAGGCATTTAGAGAAGGTAAGCACTTGATGTGTCTCCTATGGAAGTGAATGTTGCTGAGATCTAAAAATAAACCAGTCCCAGCCCCGTCCCTGTGACAAGGGCTGCTGGGCACGAGCTCTCAGGACATGGGGACAGAGGTTTTTAATGTCCTTTGTGAAGCACCAGGGCCTGGACCTGCAGTGGGGCTTTGGGACCTGCCGGCAAAATCCTTCTGCTGCCCAAGAGCCGAGCAAAAAGAGCCTGTTTGTGCAAAGTGTGGTTTTGCTCATTAATTGCCTGTTTGCCTTCATGGTAGGCATAAAGGCAGGCTGCTTTGGAAGTCCCTTGGCTTCCCAAAGTGGCTGCTGAAATGAAAGGTAGTGACTTTGAATAAAGTGCGGATGCTGCTTTGCGGAGTGAACCTTGCCTGTGTGGAGCAGAGGGATGGGATGGCAGCTGATCCCTCCTGGGAAGGTGCGAAGGTGGCCTGTGAAGCGCCCTCCAGGGGACCAACACCCAGGCTTGGCTGTGACCAGAGGACACGAAACTGGCCAGAGTGGAGGGCAGGTCTCAGACTGTGCTGAAGCGGCTTGGGTATTTCTGCATTAAAAAAAACCTCCAAGCATCTTATTGCGCCACAGAAGTTTTCTTGCAACACAGTACACTAAAATAACACTGAAAGTCTGGTTTGAGTAATTGGGAAATTCGCTTAAAGCTGTAACTCCCCCTTGGCTGCGTGTGAGAGCAGCCCCTTGTGAAGGTCACTGACTTTGCCTTCCCTCTCAGCCGTGCGTTTAACTCCTCTGTTCCTGGTAACCCACGCTCAACATCCACAGGATTTTTGCAGAAAATGTATAGCTCCTGAGCAGTGATCCCAATGCAGAGCATTGGCATGGGTCGGATCCCGTGGATCGATTTCTGAAAGCACCTGTAGGTGCCTTGCACGGTTGTATATTCCCGCACGCAGGCTGGAGGGAGCGTGGTGTCCCTGGCGCCAGGCGCTGCCCGACTGTTTTTCTGCCAACTGTCTTTCTGGCATTTACTTGGTGAAGTAACACAGTCCCCACCCGGTGCTCGCTTGTTATTTTGGAGTTTTGTCACAAATTGTGTGATACAATATAAAACGTATATAGTAATACAATATATTACTGGTAATACAAGAGGTAGGGGGCAATACAAATTAACCGTATCTCATATATATACACAAATCATATATATACATAAACCCTAAGCTTCATTCCTCACTCTAACCACGGTAACTTTTTTCTGTGCTTCAGGCTGGAGAGTTGGGCAGAGAGGAACCTAATGAAGTTCAACAAGGGGAAGTGTCAGGTGCTGCCCCTGGGGAGGTTTAACCCCATGCACCAGTACAGGCTGGGGGGCTGACCTGTGGGAAAGCAGCTCTGCCGAGAGGGACCTGGGAGTCCTGATGGACAACAAGCTGACCATGAGGCAGCAGTGTGCCCTTGGAGCCGAGAAAGCCAACAGCATCCTGGGGTGCATTCAGAGGAGTGTGGCCAGCAGGGTGAGGGAGGTTCTCCTCCCCCTCTGCTCTGCCCAGTGAGATCCCATCTGGAGCACTGCGTCCAGTTCTGGGCTCCCCAGTTCAAGAAGGGTCCAGAGGAGGGCAACAAAGATGATGAGGGGACTGGAGCATCTGCCCTATGAGGAAAGGCTGAGGGAGCTGGGCTTGTTCAGCCTGGAGAAGAGGAGGCTGAGAGGAGATCTCACCAATACCTACAAATATCTTAAGGGTGGATGTCACGAGGATGGAGCCAGACTCTTCTCAGTGGTGCCCAGTGCCAGGACAAGGGGCAGTGGGCACAAACTGAAGCAGAAGAGGTTCCAGTTGAATGTGAGGAAGAACTTCTTGACTTTGAGGGTGACTGAGCCCTGGCCCAGGCTGCCCAGGGGGGCTGTGGAGTCTCCTTCTCTGGAGATATTTAACCCCCGCCGGGATGATGTCCTGTGCACCCTGCTCTGGGTGAGCCTGCTTGAGCAGGGGGGTGGGACTGGGTGATCTCCAGAGGTCCCTTCCAACCCCTGCCGTTCTGTGATTCATCTTTCATTGCCTTGATTGAGCCTGATGAGCAGTGTTCATGTAAGGAGGCTTATGGTCACGGAACCATTACTGTTCAGGAAGAGGGCTGGAGGTACCGGTGCTGAAAGGCTTGCTTTGGGCATTCAGTAGTGCATGTGGAACAGCTGAGATATGCCAGGTCTGTCCAGAAGTGGTTGGCCAAGGTTGTTTTGGGTATCTGCAGGATATGATCCAAGAGATCTGCCCATCCGAATCACATGCCAGTAAGCAGTTAACTCTCGATTTCTATTTTAAAAAAAAAAACCTCTCGGCATCTCCAGCGGCTGAAAAGCCAGCTGCCAAATTTTTTATTTTTTGGGTAGTCTCATAAGGAATGGGAAGGATCTCGCGTTGTGTCACAGTGCCCCATGCTCTCGCATTGCAGGCATGTTTTAAGTTCCTGCTTGCACTTTCCCCCCTCTCTGTTTCATCAGTTCTTATGGAAAAAAATTGCTGTTCCCTGGACTGCTAACATCTGCGCTCCTCAGGAGAGCGTCCTTAAAGGATAATCTGATCATTTCATGGATAATGGAAATACTGGAGGTCCCTTGAATACCTAAGTGTCTCTTTCAGTTTTCAAGTTCATGCTCCCTTCTTCTGCTCAGACTTGGGTAGCAATTTTATGCCCGCTATCCAGCAATGTGAATCTGTCCAGGAAGGTAGGTGGCTGTGCACGCTGATCTCAGTGAAGAGCAGGTAACTGCTCCCAAAAGTAGGATATGCTGGTTGTGGAGCTGAATGCATTTTTTTGTCATGGAGTAAAGTTTCTGGGTGGTTGTCAGAGGCCTTGGAAGTTGCTGTTGTCCACTGACGTTGGGTATTTGCCTTGAGCAGAAGCAGCTGCTCATCATGTTCGGTAAGAAAACGCCACCCAATGAACCGTGCTCCAAATCTGTGCTGGGTGCACACCTGGAGACCAGCCTTCACGCTGTACGGTGCGTAAGCCTGTAGCAAGGCAGCTGCCGAACTGAGGAGTTCACAGTCAAGGGCTGAGAAGCAACAGTTAGATTGGGATTAAATGGGAAGTTTCAGCTTTGTCTTCTTGTGCCCAGGCCTTAAAATAGAGGGAGAAACATGTCTGCAGCCACGTGGGCTTCGCGTATAGGTATCTATCTGTAAGAAACATTCCATGCAGAAAGAAATTCTGTGCTATAACATTAGTGTTGTTTGAAACTTGGCAAAAAGTCACAAGTGCGATGACTTTAAAGTGATGTTGGAGGTCGCAGGCCATAAGTCACGCAGTGTCTCTGGAAAAAAAAATAATTATTTGGTACTGAAAACATTAATGTTCACCGTAACTTGCATAGAGGGAGCTGCTTGCAGCCATGGAAAAATTCTTGGAAGTGAGCTCTTCTATCCACACTTGATCTCAGAAAGACCAGGTAAGCTCAAAGCGTATACAACCCTAAACTCTACAGTCTGAAAAACCAGGATATTTTTACTAATCTGAACATTGTAAGTATGAAAGCACATCAGATGGGATACGAATAAAAATTGGGTCTTAATGTTGACTGTGCTGCGCCCTGTGCACTCTTACATTCTTGGACATGGTGGTGAGAAAATATAAACATGAGCTCACTATGGCTGATCTTTATTCTGATCATTGAACGCAATTCCCGATGGCTGAAGGACCAGTAGAGGCTTAAAAGTGGAGGCTGTAACAAGAAAAATGACTGCTCGAGGCTCTCATCTGCTGAATTGCATTTATTTTGGCGTTCTTGTGCAGTAAGAGAATTTGTCAAATTAAACTTGTATATGGTCACTTGTTTGTTCTTGCTTAGAAATGAGCCCCCAAGTGTTTAAGTCATGCATCGCCCGGGTCTTAGTTTATGCTAACTCCTGTGGGGATGATGGGATCTGGACCAGACCTTCCATAAACTTTTAATTGATGCAATAAACTTGGCAGTGGAAATCTCGGTGGTTTTTTTCCCCTCTGGATCTTTAGTATTTTTGCTTGGAAAGTAATGGAAGTGGTAACTGGGGCGCTTCCTCTGGCATTTTTAGAAGAAGCCAGCAGGGTTTTTGACGGGGTTCCCTTGAATGCTGAGCGTGCGCCTGCCTCCTGCAAAGCTGCCAGCATCCCTGCCGGGCTGTAAGCTCCGGGCTCTGCCTGGTGGTTGCAGTTTGGCACTTTCTTGTACGCCTTTGTACTTACCAGAAGATCTTCTGAACCGAGGTTTTATCTCTGGGAGCTACATCTAGGCAACTCATCAGAGAAGAGCCTAAATGGGAGGAAATCCAGTGCATTCAAAATACAGGTGAGGGAGTGCTGAGGGTGATACCCCTGTGCCTGGTGCTAAAGATAACTGTTTTCCCCAGAAGCTTTTTGTCGTCGTACCTAATGTTGTTACAGGCATCGGCAGTGTCGTTGCAGGAGATGCAGCTCTGTACACAGAGCCCCGCTCACCACAGCCTTCGTCCTGCCCAGCCGTATGGCAGTGGCTTTGCTAAAGCTGCTGACCTTGTGTTTTGGATTTTTCAGATGAGGTGGCCAACTCTGTGTGATGTCTGTCGCATCAGCTGCGGCCTGGCTGCCGCAAATGGGACACTTGGCACTCTGGTATGCTCTTATGGGGTTTCCTTCTGGCCAAGGATCTGGTTGGGAGCGGTTGTACAGTGTCATGTTAGCCCACGCCCTCCGTCCTGCCCAGCCGTATGGCAGTGGCTTTGCTAAAGCTGCTGACCTTGTGTTTTGGATTTTTCAGATGAGGTGGCCAACTCTGTGTGATGTCTGTCGCATCAGCTGCGGCCTGGCTGCCGCAAATGGGACACTTGGCACTCTGGTATGCTCTTATGGGGTTTCCTTCTGGCCAAGGATCTGGTTGGGAGCGGTTGTACAGTGTCATGTTAGCACAGGGAGCTGCTCTTGCATTGCAAGAACCCAAACCAACAGCTTGAAGAGCTCTTTCGGGGTGCCCCTGTTTACAGGGCTGATACCCTTATCAGCCGGGGCTGCTGCCAGCCTCTCCAGAGGTGGAGTGGAGATAGCACGGCGTGCTGGGAGGAATGGGAATGCTTACTGATGCCTCTTTTTTTCTTTTTTTTTTATTTTCAATTTGTTGAATTTTTTTCATTTTTCATCACCAAATCCCTTTGCCAGACCATGTCTTGCGCTTGCTGGTATCTGCATGACCGCTTAGGTTTGTTGGTTTTCTCTTTTCTTCCTGACTGCTCCTGAGGTTTCCTGGCAGCAAACCTGCACTGTGCACGTGGGAGAGTCATAAACGTGTTCTCAAAGCTAATCCTGAAGCACATGCATCTGGAGAGATTGCTTTCAGAGCGTCCTTTTATTTGGGGCATGAGGCTTTGTTGGTGGGAGCGCTGTAGAAGCAGAACATCTCTTTGGGGAGCTAGGGGAAGGGGCCTGGGGCACGTCTATGTGTTTTGATGGGGTTCTGATGGCTGCAGTAAAGGCGTTTATAAGTCCGCGTGCATCTATACAGGCTTTACACACTGTTCTCTCAGGAAACAAGAGGCCCTAAGCTCGGGCACCCTGCTCGGGTATGTTCTCTGTTCTGAGGGGATTGCCTGGTGACAAGCCAGATGGGGCAACCCGTGCTGTTCAGCCAGCAGCTCTGCTGCACTTTTATTTAAGAAAAGGAGCAGGGGGGAAGCCTGGGCATGCTCAGAGTAATTTTCAGCTTGGCAATGCTGTCTGTTTGCTTGAGCTGGCCATCTGTTAAGTCTGTATGCTTGGCCAGTGGTGACTTTTCGCAGTCTTGCTGTTGTATCGAAGATGCCTCCGAGCTGAAAGCGCTGACGTTCGCAAAACACGCTTGTGAGATTTGGCGCTAAAGCTTTACGGCGCACGGCGTCAGGGGCGTGTGCGGTGCCTCGTCCTGTGCTGCAGCCATGTGGGTGAGACTGTCTCTCTGACAAATTACCTTCCCCGAGCTCCCTTGTAGTTTGTTTTTTTCTTATTTGTGAAGCATGGGGAGAATTTGTAAATGACATGAAGCAGAAGCATCTTCTAGATTTTTCCTTGCAAAATATATATATATATATACAACAAATACGCCCCTGTGCTGGGGTAGGTGCTGCAGCCCAACTAAAGTGGCAAAGTGCTGGGGAAAGGAACCTGAAATGCAGATTGGTTCACTTGCTGTATCCGTCTGTTCACAGGAGACGTTTTACACCCCTAAATTCCTGCTTGTGCACTGAGGCTGAGGCTCGTCGGTGTTGGGTCCCATGTGCAAGTAGGTGCTTGTCACAGAAGCCGGCTTGGGAAGCTGCTGGATGGGTCAGGAACGGGAATATTCCCGTGATCTGTGGAGGTGGCAGGTGCCTGAGCTGTGGGCATCCCTCCAGCTGGCAAGGATTGTAGCTTGGATCGCAGGCTTTTTCCCTTAAACCTGATCGTTACTAATCTGTGCCCATCCTGACTGCAGCCAGTTGCAGATTAATCAGGCTTTAAATAGAAGTAAATCATGTCTTTTTGCAGAAATCTCAGTACCGTACTTGCCATATGCCTGTTTGGGTTTTGTTTGTGTTTTGGTAGGGTTGGGAAAGGAAAAAGAGGAAGGGAGAATGACATCTGAGCTGTTTGTCACGCGGAGCTTGCGGTTTGAGAGAGCCGTGCTGAACCAGCTTGTGATGTGCTGAACAGGAACGCTGCTTACTGCACAGGCCGGGAAGAGACCTCCCAAGCCATGCGCCCGCTTTCCCTTGGGAATTTGTGTTCTGGAATTGAGTCGTCACAAAAATCCTTTTTCCTTGAACCAAGGGAGAGTAATAACCCCAAGAGGTTTGGCGTCCGTGCCTCCACCCCCCACCTTCAGTCACGTGAGCTTTTGGCCCCAAAATAAAACCAGTTTTAAGGTGATTTGTGGAGTTTCTCTTGTGTAAAAGTGAATGCAGAGATTTCACTGGCTTCGTACCCCCAATTATTCTGGACAAAGGATGTGCAAAATCTCAGTTTATTGGGAAATGTGCTCATAAGGCACTTGTGCAGATGGGTTTCTGTAACCCAGCTATGGGGCTGCTCTGCATGAGGTGTTTGAAGTGTTCCCGTATTGAGGACAGGATAACGGTGACGGTGAAATCGAGCACCGATTTTCAGCGCGGATGAACTGCTCAGGCTCAGAGGCCCCTGAAGCAGCAGCAGCGCAGGGCTGGGGGCTGGTGCCGAGGTGGGGAGGGAGCCGCTGGCTGGTGCAGGCGATGCCGGGGAGGTGGTGGTGGCACAACAACAGCCTTTTGTTGGCAGGGTGAGACAGGGAGCGCGGCTCCTGTCGCTGCGCCGCCTGGGAATGCTGGCGGGTGCTGCCCGTGACCAGGGTCACGGAAGGATTGGAGAGCTTGACCTAATCCAGATGGGTCCTGTTAGACTGTGATTTCCACATGGAGATCCTCGTGCGTCACCCAGAGTTGCTTCGTGGAGTGCAAGCAGAGCATGGTGTCCCGTGGGAAGAGCAAGGGCGGCCAGGCACAAATGGCCTTTGCTGTGCCATGGAGGCTTGTGGCTGCATCGCCCCCACCCCCGGTAAGGAAACAAAAATCCCCTGAGAGACATTTCCATCCTCAATTAATTAAGAAAAGGATCAGCCTGATTACCCTTGTGGGTTGCGGTGATTCTTCTGTAGCACCTTAAAAAAAAAAAACAAACAAACCAGTATTTCAATGCATTGAAGTTATTGTGGGCCCAGCAGAGTGTGAATGCATTTGATATCTCCCCTTTTCTGTCCCCAGCTATTGCTCTGCCCAATTCTGCTTCTTTCGTTGCCCTGTCCTTGATTTCTGTTCTTGCTTCTCTGCTTCTCTGCAGCTTGCTCTAAAGGGCATTTCCCAGTTATGCAGCTGGTGTAAGTGTTTCTCTGTGGCTGCAGAGCCCTTCACTTAGTTAATGAGATGACATTTTCCAGTGTGATGGGTAAATGAAAGGAATAAACAGGTTTCAACTTAATCCATGAAAGGTACAGTAGGAAAACCAGGTCTTAATCTCCCAGTCAGGAGAAATCAGTGGCGTACAGAGCAGCGTGGCTGTCATCTGCGAGGCTTTCCAGTTTATTTCTCTTGCAAGGGGGACAAGAATTAAAAAAGTGGCTTTTCTCTAAGCTGCTGAATGTTTCTAGGTTGCCATGAAGCAGAGAAAGCAAAGGCAGAGATGAGACTGGTCCCTGTGTAATTAGGTATAGAGGGATAAAGAGGGGTCAGACTTTTGCCACCAGAGAACGGTCTTCACATTGCGCACGAGGTTAACGGAAATGAAATAATCTTGTTACACAAACGTGGGTGTGGGAGCTCTATGTAATTTCTGCATTAAATGCTTGCGCTGTTTTGAAATCCCGGTGGAAGCAGCGATTCGCAGGCTCAGCCAGGGGGATGCTTTGCAGCCATTTACAGCTGGGTTTCCTCCCTGTTTCTGGTGATGTACCGCTTCTCTATCGGAAAAACGCTCGTGTTTAAATGAGTTTCAGTATGCATTTTGGTGTTTTTTTTCCTGATAGTTACAACAATACCTGCTCTATTTCACCCGTATATCTCCGATCATGTGATGCAAGGTAGGAGTGCAGCCATCTGTGCCTGTATCTTGGACCGCGGTGCTTTGCAGGGGATGCTGCACAGCCCTCTGTGGAGAAACCCTCCGGTCTCCCTGGGACTGGAATGTGCTGAACTGCTCCTCCCGAGTTGCAAATGCTGGGACTTACCTTCCCTGTGGGAGGGAATAGGCTGTCGGGGAGCCCTGAGCAGATGCAGGAGCAGGACTCCCTCTCTCGAGTGGGGGAAGCGCCTCCTGGATGTGTTGCTTTGCAGTCCATCTGCTACGCTATGAGTTTCTCTTGCCTTGCTCTCTTCTCCATTGATCAAGATGGAAATGTTTGCCCTTGTCATCTTGCTGAGAAAGCTGGGGAATGGATACAAAGCCCGGTGGTGTGTGCGTGCTAAGCTGTAAGGAGATGCTGGGCTGGCTGAATTTGGCAGGGGCAGCCAGGATGGAGGTGTTCAGGGATGGTTGGCAACAGTTGTCTTGCTACAGCACCCTTCGGTTCTTGGGCTGTGAGTTGTGATTTGGATCTTTGAGCTGCTTCAACACCACAGTTGTACCCGCCATCTCCAGACCAACACATTGATCAATCCCATCCTTTCCAGATCTCCTGGTGTGTTGGAGGGTGCCCTAAGATGTTGGGTTTGTGCTGCACAGGTACGGTGTTGGATTGGGTTTTGGGTGTCATCTGTAGCACTGCTGCAGAAGCCTAGATCTGTAATTTTGTTGAGATACGACAGCCAAAAAGTTTTTCCCAGCTCCTAGCTCTTTGAATACAGCGTGGTGGCAGAGCTCACTGGGGAAGCTCCTCTAGGTGTCTGCCAGCTCCAGAAATGGACCTGGGATCTGTGTCCGGCTTCAAGCAGTGCACATAATGGAAGTGTTGCTGTATAATCGCTGTACTTCACTCAAAACTCCCCCTCCAAACCACAAATAATTTCACTCTCTTCCGTAACAGTCTGTGACTTTTCCTTTTCAGACTCTTCATATGTTTCTTATTTTCTCCCCAAATCCTTCATAACAGAGGACGAGCTGGGAGGTCCCCTGAAGGCAGTGAACCATTCGGCTCTGTCCCT